AGAGGTGGTTTGGAACATATGCGTTTAATGGTAAAGATAAACAATTCTTGCTTTTTGGCCAAAATTGATTATTTTTCCTTCTTCTCTTACATGCCATGATTTTCTTGCTAACACAGCCCTGACAAGACTAAACATAAACACTTTGCACAAATCAAAGTTGTTTGTTTGGTTTTGCTTTTTTTTTTTTTTTTTTTGTTTTTTTTTTTTTTTTTTTTTCTTTTTCCTTCTTTGACTTTGCAGGTCATTTGTCTTAAATAGGAAAAAAAAAGTCCACCCTTTTCTTGCAGACTCCCAGTTCATATATCTGGTTTTAAGTGTGTTAACAAATCACATTTCACTGGGAATATTTGGTGAGCTGTCTCCAGTCAGACAAGGTGGGGGTGATTACATGTTACATGATCCCCAAAGATATAAGAAGAAAATAATGTCTTCATGGGGTGAAGGCTGTACTTGGGTATTGATATTTGCCTCCAAACAAGCTTTGAACGTTGGACCGATCTCAGCCACCCTCAGTAAAACTCTTGAGCCCTGACCCATTTAAAACTGACACAAATTCATGCAATCAATGCTACAAATTCAGTGCATTTTCCCTTTTAGTAAACTGCCCCTGGTAACTAATGGGACAGTAGACAAAGCCAGCACTGTTTTGAAAATATAGCCAAACATAATGACTTTTGTCTTATTTTGGTTTTGATTCTTTTCCTTTTCTTTCTTTCTTTCTTTCTTTTTTTTTTTTTTTTTTTTTTTTTTTTTTAAGATAATATTGCAACCCTGGTGAAGGCCTGATTTTGAAGAAAACAGGTAGTTCTTGGGGCTGACAAGTTCTGGCCAGTTTGTCACAGGCCTTACTGGCTCTTTTGCAGGGAGCACAAGACATTGTTTATCCTTTGTGTTTTGACCTTTCTTGATGAACTTGAATGTGAGTCTTGAATCCATAGTCTTGCTTGACAGAAATCTTACTTGCAAACTTTCTCCTACCTGCTGGGAGTCAGCTCTCCTCTGCTTTAGAGATTTTGATTTCTCTGCTCACAACCAGTAGATAGATGCTGCGGTCCCTCTGGACACTGGGAAATAGGCAGGTCGTTTGGACAAAAATTTCAATGTGGGAAGGAAGATTTTAAGTAAATATGTTCTTATAGTAAGAGTGACATTTGGCACAAAGTTATTTCAGTTATTTTGCAAAGAGTGCGACCTGGGTTTGCGGAATAAAATACAGTTACATAACAATTAAGAATCTTGGTACAGTTTTATAAAGCAGTTAAATATTAGAAGCTAGTTTGGGCCCTAGACATTAGGGACAAGAAAGCAGTGACACCCTAATTAAAATGAGGCTGGAGTAGTCGACCTTAAGAGAAAGTTAGCTCCCAGTGAAGGCATTTTTAGACATGACAAAACTTTGGAAAACAATAGCAAACACAGATTAGTGCTATTTTACAAAGAACTATACCCTGCCCAAGTACCCATTATTACAAACAGATTTCTAAATTAAAATACAAGGAAGAAAGGAAAGAAAGAAGGAAGGAAGGAGAAGGAAGGAAGGAAGGAAGGAAGGAGGAAGGGAGGAAGGAAGGAGGAAGGAAGGAAGGAAGGAAGGAAGGAAGGAAGGAAGGAAAAGGAAGGAAGGAGGGAGGGAGGGAGGAAGAGATTACTTAAGGAAGTCTGGCCTATTTCTTTTGGGTCCTTGTTGAAATAGTGTTAAAATTCCTTTCATTCCAATTACAGAACTGAACCCACTCACACGTTGGAGGTATCAGTGGGCTATGCCACATTTTGGAAGCTCCAGTGATAAATTCATAAGATAAAATTTATATGAGAACTATACATTTAACGTGTATCTTGTTTGCAGTTTTGGAGAACAACTTAATCTGAACTTTCATTTCATCTCCTTTCTAAAGAACAATCATTTGTTAGGGAAGAAGGCTTTTAAATATACAAACTCCATACCAAACAATTAACCATACTTCTCACAGACAGACCCACAGGAAAGGCTGTGCTCAGCCATGTGCTAGGCATACAACCAAACAGGTGTGATTGCTTTCAACTTGGAATATTAGTTTTTAAAGTCTACTAAAATTACAACATATACATAGACACACACACACACACGTGTGTGTGTGTGTGTGTGTGTGTGTGTGTGTGTATGTTCCTAAAGAAACTTTTCCCCCAAACCAACAGCTAGCATTCTAAAAATATATTTAGGCATGTACACTTTTAACTGTGAGCTTTCACTTTTCCTGGCAGAGAACTCTATTGAGAGAAGAAGAATTTTTGACTCCTCTCCCTAAACAGATGTTATGGACAGCAGCATTCTCGGACTAGGAC